CGGACCGGGCCGGCCTGGCCCCTGCTGCCCGCGATGGTCCCGCCCGGCCAGCCCTGAGCCCCGCGCGGGCTTCGGGGCGCTGCCTCCCGTCCCCGCCCCGCCCGGAGTCTCCGCCAACTTCTGCCCGGGAGCTCCACTTCGCCCCTTCTTTTGGCCCAGGGAGACCTCGGCAGCCCTGACAGCGCAGACCCTCTGGAGTGCCCAGAAAGACCCCCGCGGCGGCCTGGCGCCCCCGGCTCTCCCCGGATGGAGGCGCCTCCGGAAGGGGCCGGCTGCACGCGCTGGCCTTCACCTTGCAGCTTCTGCTGACCACACCTCCCTTAGCGCAGAGGCTGCCCGGGAGCAGGAAATGCCCTGCCAGGTGAGGCCCGGTGGGCGGCTGGCGCTGGCCACCGGGACTGGATGCCGCGCGGCTGGAGGGACCTGGAGTCAGCCTGTTTGGGGGAGACGGGCCGCCCCTGCACGGGCCGGGGTGACTCTCAGGAGCGCCTAGCCACGGGGTCAGCCCGGCAGCCGCCACCATGGGTTGCAATGCTCTGGACGCCTGCATTTCCAGGGAGCCGAGGTGGTACCTGACACACGTGGCCGGCTGGTGGCCTTGGAAAGCTGGGCGAGCCCCCAGGACAGACCCTGGCGGCAACAGGATCGAAGAGGGTCTGGGGGATGCTGGTGGCCAGTCTCCTTCGCCTGAGAATTCCCCCAAGTGTCCCTCCTGTGACTCCTGACCCCTCCCTCGTGAAGGGCTGATTCCCACAGTCCTGTCTCAGTGAGGCACATTGCAAGGGCTGCCCCAGACTCTGTCCCCAGCATGGGGCTATTGTGGAACCCTGTGCAAAGCCAGGAAGGGGCCCCAGACAGACATCGCTTTCCCTTCCCTGTTATGGCCTCAACCCTCCTGCACTTGCAGCAGGGATGGAGCTGCCAGCTCTCCAGTAGTCCTGGATAGAAGCGGGGAGCCCCTGTTGGGGGTTGCTGCTGCCTGGTTGGGGGCTCACAGCTTCCTTCTTTCCTCTCAGCACAGTTGGCTCCCTGGGATCTGGGTCTGACCGCCAGGATGGAGCTGGGGCCGGCGACCGAGACCTTTGTGCTGGAGCTGCGATGTCTTGAGGATGGGGGCCCTGGACCTGACACCCTCTCAGGTGAGGGGTTGAGGAGGGGGGGGTCTTTCACAGAGCCCAGGCCTTCTGTGGCAGAAAGAGACCCAAGTGTGGCAGGCAGCTTGCTGTTTGTTTGGAAGTGGAGGGCAGCCCACATTGGCTGGCACCGGCCAACTGCCTTGAGTGACACTGGCAGGTTTGCTTTGGGCTTTTCTGAAGTGACTCTGTCAGGCTGAGGTCTCACTGGTGAGGACATCCCTGGCATACCCACAGTCTCAACCCTTGGCCCCTTACATAGTGCTAGCTGGAATCCGTTGCTGTTTCCTCAGCAGTTTCTGCCATTCTTCCACCTGGCCTTGGCTTCTGACTCAGTTTCCCAGATCAAGTCCAGGCACTAACAGGCTCTCTTCCTCTGCCTCTTCTGCCTTGGACATTGGCTCCATAGATTCTTTCCCCTGTGGCCTCTAACCTTGTCCGATTTTCCTTGACCTCTGCTTCCTTCCATCTGTTTTTCTCTCCGTGACGTCCTGCAGAGTCTCCCACAACCTCTCCCTGTGGGACCCACTCTGGGCACAGTCATGAAAGCCGGTTTCCCATTCGTTCTGTGCTTTAAGGGTGCTGAGCAAGGGGCTAGGGCAGGGTTGAATGGAGCTTGAAAAGGACCAAGGGAATTGGAGGGGTCAGATGGGGACCTGTGTACTAAACAAGGACACTTCTGAGTTGTAAATTTAACTGATAAACTTTGGGAGGGCATACATGTCAAACGACACTTAACTAGACATTCACTCAAATGGCTTTGTTAAAATGCTGAAACGGCCTCTCCTGGAGGTTAGAGTGGCCATGTGGCCAAGACTGTGCTAGAAATGAGGAGAGTCACAGGTGTGATCTGTCTCTGTTGCTCCCAGAGGAGGTGGGAGAAAGGAGTGTCTATAAGATACGGGGCTTGTTGGAGGGACAGGTTTTCAGTGCTGTCTTCATCTGCCATGTGCATCCTTCCAGCAGGTGTGTCTATGAGAAGGGCACTCACTGATTCATTAGCCCAAGCAGAGGTTATTAGGGATATTTCACTAAAAGGAAATTATGTACATGTATATATTCTTTGGTTTTATTAAATCAATCTGTTCCTGGAGGCAAGGCGCAATGGCTCACACCTGTAATTCCAGCACTTTGGGAGGCAGAGGCGAGAGGATTGCCTGAGCCCAGGGGTTTGAGACCGGTTTAGGCAACTTGGCAGGACCTTGTCTCTACAATAAATAAAAAAATGAGCTGGGTGTGGTGGTGCATGCCTGTAGTTCCAGCTACTTGGAAGATTTGAGGAGGAAGGTTCGCCTGAGCCCAGCAGGTCGAGGCTGCAGTAGCCATGAGCATGCCACTGTGCTTCAGCCTGGGTGACAGAGTGAGACTCCAACTAAATATATATATTATATATATTTGTATTTATATTATATATACATAATATATAATATATATTGTATAATATCTGTTATATTATAGATAAATATGTAACATATTTATATATTATTCCAGGAATATGTATTCCTGGGAAAATGACCAGAAAGCAAAGTTTTATAAATGAAACCATTGCTCTCCATGACAGAATTGAATGTGATGCTGTAGGAAGAAGAGATGATGAAACCAGACTTGGGAGTGGAGCGTGCTTCCCATAGTCACACGTGTAAAGAAGAATTCTGATTTTCCAGTAGCACAGTAGTCACCCAACATGAGACCCTGAACGTGGACACTGTGCGAAAGGAAAATGTGGCAGTGGAGTGACTGCTGTTTGTGCTTACCCTGTGTCTAGCGCAATACTGGGGCTCTGCATTTATCCTCATTCTCACAATGTTCTTGAAAAAAATTTATCTTCAAAAGGCGAAACTGAGGTTCCCAGAGGCCAAGTAGTTGGTCAGTCACCATATTGACTTGAGGCCGTGAGTTAGTGCTTTCCGTTCCTGAATGACAATCTAAAACACTTTCCGTCTTCAGGCAGTTTCGAAAAATACCAAGTTGTATTCTTGGTATTTTTTTGTTAGTTGGCAAACTAATCCTAACCTACAGGGAGGGGGGGACCTTTTAAGTACCCACCGTGTTGTAGAGAATATGCCAGGACCCTTCCTGGTTTTTTCTTCAAGTGATTGGTGCAGCTATCACTGAGCTATTGTACTGCCACGGGTGTGAGTCTGCAGGAGGCTGGGCAGCTGCTAACCAGCAGCATTTGGTGCTGAACTGAACCAAGGACTTCTCACCTGAAACCTAGTGATCTCTCTGACACTTTGATGATTTTTGGGAACTGCTTGTGGTAACACCTCCAGGATACTCTACAGAAATTCTTTGTTATTTACAGATTAGGCAAGCTTCATTTATTTAAGGTGTGCTTGTAACTGAGGTCAGAGTTCATCATGGGGATAATGGTGTGGCTGTGGGCATGGCCAGCTCGTTGATTTCCACTGGGTGGTAATTAAGCACAAGGGACTTCTCAGGGAATGGTGTCAGGGAGCCTCAGGTACCCATACTGGAGTCAGTGCCAAGCGCTAAGCATGGGCTGGGCTCAATGGATCAGCCTATCATCCCAGCACTTTGGGAGGCCAAGGCAAGTAGATTGCCTGAGTTCGAGACCAGCCCAGGCAACTTGGTGAGACCTCGTCTCTACAATAAATAAAAAATTAGCCAGGTGTGGAGGTGCATGCCTGTAGTTCCAGTTACTTGGAAGGCTGAAGTGGAAGGTTCGCCAGAGCCCAGCAGGTTGATATCGGGGTGGCTGTGGGCGACAGAGTGAGATTCCAACTCAAAAAAAAAAAAAAGAGTTAAGCATGGAGGTTGTATAAAGCGATGCTCAGAGGAGGGGTCAGGGAGCTGGGGCGCAAACTGAAGTGACCAGCAGTCCCTGGGGCATATTTCTAATTCACCCTCCACCCCTACAGCATTTCAGTTTCTGCTGTGTTGTCACTGTCACTCTTCTGATACTTTTGGGTCCCTGCTAAGAGTGTATTAGGGTGTCTGAGTGACTGTCCACGGGCAGGATAAGGAGGCAGGGCCTTGGGGGGGGTGGACCAGAGAATTGCCGGTAGATCGTTCTCTCCTGGCTTCCTGCCGTTTCTACTACAGGTGGCAGCGGTGGGAGCGAGAGTCAAGAGGAAGAAGAGGCCCAGGAGCGGAGCAGCAGCCCACAACGGCCTGCGATCTCAGCCCCAATCGGGGCTAGTGAGGTCACCGAGAAAGCCCACCCAGGACAACAGGAGTTGCAACTGCAGCAGTTAAAACAGCAGCCAGAGCTGCAGCAACAACCGCAGCATGAGCAGCTGCAAGAGCAGCAACCGCAAAACCAACGATTAGGGCATCAGCCAGAACTGCAACCGCAGCGGCCAGAGGGACAACAGCAGCCATCTCAACGACAGCAGGAACTACAGGAAAAAGGTCAATCCACGCAGCACCAGGAACTGAAACCAGAACTGCAGTTAGCACAGCAGCAGCAACAGTTACAGGAGCCACAAATTCAAGCGCAACAGCGATTGCAGCAACAGCAGGATCAGCTACAGCAGCAGCAAGTGCAAGAGCAACAGCAGGGACAGCTGCAGCAGCAAGTTCAAGTGCAGCCACTGTTGCAGCCACAGGAGGGACAGCTACAGCAGCAAGTGCAAGTGCAGCCACTGTTGCAGCCACAGCAGGGACAGCTACAGCAGCAAGTGCAAGTGCAGCCACTGTTGCAACCACAGCAGGGACAGCTACAGCAGCAGCAGTTCCAACAGCAGCAGGAGCAGCTGCAGCAGCAGCAACAGCTACTGTTGCTGCAGCAGCAGGCACAGTTACAGCAGCAGTTGCTGCAGCAGCAGCAGGCACAGTTGCAGCAGCAGCTATTGCTGCAGCAGCAGGAACAGATGCAGCCGCCGCCGCCGCAGCCTCCTGCTCTGGAGCCAGACGAGGAGGAGGAAGAGGTGGAGCTGGAGCTCATGCCAGTGGACCTGGGGTCAGAGCAGGAGCTGGAGCAGCAGCGGCGGGAGCTGGAGCGGCAGCAGGAGCTGGAGCGGCAGCAGGAGCAGCGGCAGCTGCAGCTCAAGCTGCAGGAGCAGCTGCAGCAGCTGGAGCAGC